GATAGGGGGAAAAATGTTCTATACCATGAACATGTTATTTTTACAATATAGAAAACACTTTGCTCTCTCACTGCACTACAAATGTGAACGTTTACAAGTTGTTGCTTTTGTATACAATTAACCGCTTGCAAAATTTCGTTAAGTATGGGAGTTTTTTAATTTTGATAAGTATTTGTTTTACTCTGTGATGAATTTTTGAGTTTGAAAAGGAGACTAAACTGCAATCACAGTGCATTTAACTGGAAGACATAAAGCAAGTATCAATTACTAACAATATCTGATATTTCTGGAACAAATGAGGCAAACAAGCAGACAGGCCTCTTTACAAGTGGAGCTACTGAGGCAGGGAAGCCAGATAATCCTAACATCCTGGAAATTAATCTGTGCAGACACACTCAACCCCTAAGCAGAGTGAGGAATAATTAATTTTGTACACCACCACCTCTTTCATCATGCAGTTCTCACTTCAAATAGCAAATGAGCTTTCCATCTCAAGATACTGGCAACAAGGCTTGAGCATCGTTAACTCAAACCATTAGTTTCAACCATAAGAGAACAGTAGGTCCTTCGTGTAAGTGCTCTCTTTCTTGTCCTTCATAATGTTATGGGAACAACACTGTAGTTCTCTGAACTGAGAAGAAAGATGTTCTTCAAAACTCTACAGGACTAAAGAACACAAAGCTCTAATACAACTATGATTACAGACTTCTCAACAGCAAGTCAGAAACTCTTGTCAAACCAACTTCTTCCATTCTTTGAAAATAAAAATTTGACAAGGTAACTGCACAAACATAAGGCACATGGTATTAAAAGTCAATCAATTAAAATGAGCATTAAAATACAATGGTTTATGTACTGTTAAAACTGATCAAACATTTCAAAAGTAACAATTAACAGAAATCATTAAGCACTGCAAATCTCTTCTTATCAATTAGTAATACTGAAAGGAAAAAACCAGCAGCCCTACCGGAGAGAAAACTGAGCAAATTGCACCATTTACACAGTAGCCAGTTTAACAAAGCAGCCTGGTAGTCATTTGCTATAAGCAGAAAAGTGAAATCAGTATTAAGTTTAGTCACCTTATTCTTTTGTGAAATTACAATTCTGCTGCATTATAGGTTAGTTAAATACACTCAACCAGCAGAAGAGAGAGAAAAGCAGCCCACAGACATTAAAAAAATCATGTGCCTGGGGCAGAGGTTCTGCCTCTTTGGGTGAGACTATAGGACACTATTTTCCAACTCCATTAATCTCTCCCTACATGTAAAAAGGAGCTATTCCTTCTCCTTTACTCTAAGTATAAAAGTATTTATCTTCTTTCAACTCTGGTAGGATCCCTAGCTTCTTGCTGGTTTTATATTATTTTCCGACGAGGTAAAGACAAATTCCTCTAACCCCTCTACTGCCCAAAGCTTTGCATTATGGCAAGTCTTTACAATAGCTTATCTTCTATTTAAGTCTATCGAAATAGGACCTAGCATTTTCTGTTTCTCTCAGGTTACCATGGATAAGAAGCTGCCGCGTTATCTGCTCTATGGTAACAGCTTACATGCAGGCTCTTCTCCAGGGCTAGTGCCTTCTATTACTGCAGGGTAAGAATCTGCATCTGCATAGTCACTACAGAGCAATTATGCAGGGCTACTTGTCATCTGCAGCCAATTTGACAGATGAATTTAAAACAGTCCTTTTGTTGCCAGAGCAGGACCCCAGTATGCCCAATGAGACAGACATGTGGGTGTTTTGCCATTGAACAGGAGTGAAACAATGAATGACCTCATTATCAAGTGACATTCTGTGCACTAACCAAAAAAAGTTACATTTTTCTTCCACTAAAGATTCTCATGAGGTATATGCTTATAGAGACTGAATTAAGACTGCACAAACACCCCCAGTTTTATGATCTCCTCACTTTTTGAATCATGATTGAACAATCTCTAAGTCTTGAAGGTGTTTGTAGCCACCTTCCTTTGCTGAATGGGCTCAGAGGGCATACTTCAAAGGCAAGAGTCACAAAGCCTCACACACCTTCTGTTCCAGTTCCATTCCTTGAACATTGACAGCAAGGCTCACAGCAGCAATCACGTTCACTCCAGAACGGAGGATGCTCTCTGCAACTAGCAATTGTATTCAGCCCTCTGAATATATACACAACTTTATACAGTCTTATGTAGGTATGGGTAAAGCATCTTACCAGAGCAACTTCCACCTGGAAGAGCTAGAAGTTTCTGGTGAAAGGAATGGGAGCTGTGGTCTCATAAGAGGCTACCAGATTATTAATATTTTTCTCTATCTGTGCAAAACAACTTTTCCCATTGTTCTCAGAACATTAAGTTTTTAAAGATTCAGCCTGAGGGAGACATCTGGCATGGAATGTGTCAGACCGTTAGAATTTGGCAAAATTAGTAGCACGTGAAAACAGAAGTTCTTAATGGAAAATGTCAGGCACCTTTAACAAAAGATATTACCATAACGGACCGAAAATTTTTGCAGCAGGACTGCTGCACCTGGGAAAAAAAAAAAAACACAGAAAAAGCCTTCCTAACCCTTTTGTGGCTTAGTTCAAATCCTGTTAATACCAAGGCACAAGTGGAAAAGTGAAGTAAAACTGTAAATAAAGAAAAAGGAAAAAAAGAGAAGTAACACTATTCCAGTTCAGAGAATGAAAGCTTAAATAGAAGTTTACAGAATCCAAAATCTGGCAGTGTCCTCCATTAGCAACAGCATCCGATATAACTTTTACAGGTAAATAGTAAGTTTTGACTATGTTTTGGACATAAGACCAGCAGATAAGGAACTAAAGGCTTTTCTTTTACAGAGTTTAAGAATATCATGCTTCTGACCCCTTCTCTTAATTTGCTTTTAACGCTCAAACATTACAGCATTGTAAGTTTAAACACACAGTCCAGGAACAAAAAAAAAAAACAAAAAAACCAAAAAATTGAGTTCTACTTACTGAAAATAGGAATGCAACCACAGCTGTTTCTGTGCTGTCTGTATACTGTATGGAAGCGAACCACCAGCTGAAGGAAAAAAAATGGAACATGTACGTTTGTTTTTTAAAAGACACTAAAAACAGCCCACATCTTGGGAAAAAGCTATCTGTACTACTATTCTCATGACTTATTTTCAGAAATAAATGAAATGCTCAAGTAGTATAGAGTGGTATATAGTTATGGGTGGTTGTTTTGGTTTGGGTTTTTCTTTTTACTTCATTCTTATAATTTAGCAAGTTCCTAAACACTACATAGCAGAATTACACTAGGAAAAAGAGAAACACTATACAGGCTATAGAATTAAGTCCTCTTAGAAAACAGATGTTTATGGGTAATTTTTTGTCACAATACCACTTGATACCAACATTACACATTAGACTCATTACACATACAAGCTAGAGGGAATAAAACAAGCAGCCTTCAGGAAAAAAAAAAAAGACCACCAAACAACATTCTTTTAAGCAGCAAGAATGTCTCTAATGAAATTGTATTTGTATTGATTTGGTCTTTGGCTAATGTATGTTCTTATTTCTTGAAATAGAATTAAAGAAGAATCAGCCATGGCATACTGAGTTATATTAGTGTTGTGTATAAAAACATGATGCAATACCTACTGTGTTCAACCTGTCCTAGAATACACCATAAGGACCTGTTACAAAAGCTTTACTGCTCTCAGGAATGCACTAACTGCAGGAGTCCACAGAGCTGTTCATGTGCACAAATACAGACTTCTGTAATTCACCATGTTGTTTCACAATATGAAAGAAATCACAGTTAAGGAGTCATTGTGCAGATTTTCTCTGACCTTCAAGAGTATCAACTTTGCTAAACAGATGCTGTAGACAACCAGATGTATTTCAAAAGACCTTAACTCACTTGTGGGAACCACAGAGACCTATAAACTCACTAGCTGCAGTTTCTACGTGTGTCCAAAAACTGCTCAATTCAGAGGAAAGACAGACAGCTGAAAGCATTCCTGCCAGCCTTGTGTTCAAGTTCCAACAATTGTTAAAAGAGTTCAACAGCTACTCCATACTACACAGGAGCATAAGTATTTGGCTTGGAACAGGAACACATGCTTATGGATTCAGCAAGTCCAAAGGATCACTGAATCATTGAAGTTGGAAACACCCTCTGGAGATCATCTAGAATAACTCCCTGCTCAAAGCAGGGTCAAATAGAGCACATTGCTCAGTACAGTGTGCTGTCAGGTTTTGCGTATCTCCAGGAACGGAGTCTCCACAACCTCTCTGGGCAGCCTGTTCCATTTAAACATCAGAAAACATTTTTGCTCTAAGGGTACACTGGAATCTCCTGTATCTCAAATCATGTCCATTGCCTCTTATTCTTTCATTGGTTACCATGTGAAGAACCTGGCACTAATTTGCATCCTCCTATGAGGTATTTATACTCATTGATTAACAACTCCCAGGAAAGTTCTCTTCTCCAGGCTGAAGAATTATCCAGCACTCTCAGCTTCTTCTTGGATGACAGATGCTTCAATCCATTGTTCATCTTTGTGGCCTTTTGCTGGACTCTGTTCCAATGTCCACATCTGTCTTGTACTAGGAAGCCAACAACTGGACACAGCACTCCAAATGTGGTCTCATCAGTGCTAAATAGAGGGGATGGATCACATCCTGGCAACGCACTTCCTAACGCAGCCGAGGATGCTGTTGGCCTTCTTGCCACAAGGGTGCATTGCTGGCTCATCTTCAGCTTAGCAACCACCATCACTCCTAGGTCTTTCTGCAAAGCTGCTTTCCCCTGGTCAGTCCCCAGTGTGTACTTGTGTACTGGGGTTATTCCTGCCCCAGCGCAGTACTTTGCATTGCCCTCTGTTGAACTGTGTAAGGTTCCCATCAGCCCATTTCTTCAGCCTGTACAGTCCCTCTGAATGGCAGTGCAATCCTCTGACACATCAACCACTCCTCCTGAGTTTATACCATTCTCAAACTCTCTGCGGCGTACTCTGCCCCACCATCCAGGTCAGTAATGGAGATATTAAACGCACAATCCCAGTATCAATGCTTGCCACCACTAGTGGCTGACCTCCAGCTAGCGTTCACGCCATTGATCACAACCATTGAGGCCTGGCAGTTCAGACAGTTTCCAATCTGCCTCACTATCCACTCATCCAGCCTGTACTTCATCAGGTTGTCTGCAATGTTACAGGAGACAGTGTCGAAAGCCTTATCAAAATGTTAAGATAAACAACATCCAATGGACCCCTGTCATTCATCAAGCTAGTCATCTCATTGTAGAAGGACATCAGGTTAATTAAGCATAATTTCTTCTTTATAAATCCACGATGACTACTCCCGATCACCTTGTCCATCATATGTTTGGAAATGGTTTCCAGGATTCTTTGCTCCATCACCTTCCTAGGGACCAAGGTGAGGCTGAAAGCCTACAGTTCCACAGATTCTCCTTCTTACCCTTCCTGAAGGCAGGAAAGAATTCCTTTGAGTCCTCATGAGTCTCTTCCAACTGCCTTGACCTTTTGAAAACGAATCAAAACCAGCCTCGTGTTGACATCGGCCAGCTCCCTTAGCACACACAAACATAACCTACATAAGTGCTTGCTTTTGAGAAACAGCAGCTTTGCTGCATCAGAATACTACAGTACCTCTTCCTCTTTCAGGTTGGCTGGGGCTATGCTTTCCTGCACAAATATATTGACTACATGAACAGAAACACGAGAAGACTGAACAGAACAATTGCACATTGCAGTATTTTTAAAAAATGACTAATGAGTAGCGAAACATCTTATTCTCCCTTGTATCTGATTTTCAGGATGACATTGCAAAGAAAACACTCAAGTACTGAGTGGAGAACTCTGCACACTCAAAACTGTACTTTCTTCCAAAATGAAAGTATGACTGGAGTTAGAACAGTGGGCAAGAGCTAGTTTTTCCTATACAGTGACATAAGAACATAGCTATACAGACTTAAACATTATATACCAATGCCCATAAAGCATTTTCTATTCAATCACAACAGGAGAGCTGGAGTCAGAGCTCCAGTAACAATAATAAAAGGATTCTACTGCCACCTATTCTATCAAGTTCTCAGCAAGACTACAACTTCAGGTTCATTCAATAACTGAACTGATTTTGCAGGACCACAAAAAGCTAATAAATGGGGGTTCATCTGCTTACCGGGATAGCCTTCCAGACTTTGCCTCACATTGTTCACTGTAGGATAAACCTTCAAAGGGGTAAAAAAAAGTAACTTAAATAACAAAGCTCTAAATACACAAGCTGTCAATTTTCAAAGAAAAATCACCTTAAAGAATTTTTTTTTTCCTCAAGTAAGTTTAAAAACTTCGTTTTTCAGAACGAATAAAGTTACACTGCAGTTTAAAACTAGTTATGTTGCAGTAACAAAGAAAGGCTTTAATATTTTTACTGCTTTTGCAGAGCTTACCAAAATGAGGTAGCAACACTCAAACAATCTTGCTTCAATCACTTCCACAGTGGTGAAAGTAAGCTCTTAACACAACTTAATGGTATTTTAGACTTGGATCTCAAATAAGAGTATGCAGGGGCAATCAGCACATGGTAAGGACATAGCTTGACAACACTTTCTCCTTGATTTAACAAGCTCCTGCCACAAACTTGTTTCTGTTCCTCCCCTTAATTGTTCTAATAATCAAATAACCAGGTTAGAAAATAATTTGGTTTAGGTATTAATCACTCAGGGTTCAGTAACAACTCAGTAGCTGAAACAACTGCATCTAGAAAACTCAATGGAAGACAAGCTATAGAATGGAAATACAATTTGGATTAGATTATACATACTCTAGTGCCACACAGATGGAAATTATAGTACATTTTTATAGTATACCATACACAAGTGTCACTAAGTGGCAGAATGAAAACTACATCAATGTCTTCCAAAAGTTAAAAGCAAAGCAGCGACTAAATGCAACAACAAATGAATAAATGTTAAATAAGGTCACTAGCATCTCAAAGACATACCAAATGAACTGGAACATCACATTTAACGAGAGTTGTCACACTGCTGCCTGCAGCCACCAGGCTCTCCTGGAACTCTGAGCACAGCCATTTGGACCCATCAGCTCCCATTGAACCAATGCTTGAGAACTGTCCAACAACAGGCCAGAATTCCTGTGCTGGGATTGACGAAGCATGCTCTTTCAAAAGCTAGTGAGGGAAATTAAAACATTGTTAGACTTCAACAGGTAAAGAATACCTTAATTAGTGGTTTGATACCACTTCTGATATAATAAATCATCTAGAATTCACTACTGAAAACAAAAGAGATTAAACATTTATACTATCTAACTTTGCAATAAAAAGAGTCATCAGGCTCTCCAAATAAACCCACTGTTCCTTCAAGAGAAGATTGAACATCACAAGTTTTATCCAAAAGCACCAAAGCCAACCATTAAATAATGGGTAAAAAGAATGCTAGCAGCTCTTCCTAAAAACAGGAAACATTAGCTCCAGAAGTCACAACAAATTAACTAAATCTTTTTATATCTAGTGGTTATTGGCCATAAAATTCCTCTCATATCCTAAAGCCCCAGCTACAATAGAAGCCTACAATAAGAGTGGAAAAAAGAACAATTGAAGAGAAAAATGAAATAATCCTTTTAAAGGAGTTCTTTAGCTGTGAATGGAATTTAAAGACACATTAAGAACACATGGATATAGGCACATTAAATTGTATGTAGTGGCTACCTTTCCCCCTGCCCTCTAAAGAAAGCACATAACTAAATAGCTTCAGTCATCAGTGTAGTGTCACCAGATCTATCTGCATTGTCACTAAAAAAAATATTCTTTTTAATCACAAATATTTGCCACAATACCACCTTTATCCTTTACAAGCCTTTTCTGTTTTATTGTTTTTATTCAGTGTCTTACTAGGCAAAAAAACATGCAGACAACATGTATCAGAAAGGGCAAGCTCTTCATGATCAAGAGGAAGTCTAAAAGAATAAACCTGAGTTGAAAAGCAGTGTGATAAACAGACATTTTGTATGTCACTGAAGTTTGCCATGGACAGCATTGTAATTCCACATAAAATTCACAATGGAATTCGAAATAATGTCACTTCAGCACGAGGTGCAGGTTAAAAATTCCCCAATTATGAGAGGCATTTAACAGATGACATGAAATCACTTACCTGATTCTAAATAAACATGGAAAAAGAAGGTGCCTGTTCGTAATTATTCAGTTGATTAAAAAACTAGTCAAAAAAAAAAATCAAGATCCTCAAATTGTAGTGGAACAAAAACTAAAAACCTGACTGAATTGCTAACATCAGCTATGTGCAAACTGGTTTTTAATTTGATGGGCTTTCCCAGGTCATTAGGGGAAAAGAAACTGCCCTTAACATTGAAGTAAATAAAATAAGCCTGCTCCCTACATGCAGGCAAGTCTGTATCAACACCTTTCCTCACTGAGTGCCTTTGAAAACGGTTGTATTTGGTTCCCAGTCACAGAAGACTGGATTTTGATAGTGCCACACCTGTTAGAAATACCAACAGCAGCTAGGAAGTCATTTGGGTGATGGTGACTCCTCAGATATCTGTAAGCACATGACAACTTGGACCACAAGCTGACCGTGGTAATAACGCTCAGAAATACTACGTTCAAAGTCCACACTGTCACACATTGCAAGCTTACGTTACTGCTGACTTAAGCTGCAACAACGTATTAAAAGATCGCTAATCATTGCTGGAAAAACTGAAAGAAACTACAGAATGCTCTCCAAAATTATATTTACAGTTAAAAGAATATTAATAAAAGTTTTAGTACCTTTCTGAGCCTAAGATGACCCCACTTTTCTTTATCACTACCTTGATATCGTCCAGGGGTAGAACCAAGCAGATACACTCTACAGAAAAAAAACCAACACAAAACAACACCAAGTTATTTGCAGCTCTGGAGCATTTTGGGCTGTGAAGTATCAACGTATTCAAGTAAAACCTATCAGCAAGGTTGAATATAAAAGTGCAACCAGAAATATTTAATCTTTCACACTTAAGACATGATGTAAAGGAAAGTGGATTTTCAGCTGTATGGATTATTACTAGCATGCTTTATGGCTGTCATTGACCACCAGGCTGTTCTATAGGATAGACAAGAACTGCGTCTATTTCTGTGTACAAAACCACAGAAGAGGGATGATGTCAGCAATAAATGCAAATAGCTCGTTTGGCACAGAACTAGGCATGGAACTTGGAGTAAAGCCAATCTATTGCCACATCCAAATCAGCAGATGTGGGTATGACATTTCATTTGGGCACTTAATGGTTCAGATGGAAACTACGGCTTTTTCAACTGTCTTGCTAACAATGGTTTAGTAACCAGTTTGACTTTGCCCTCTGAAAACAGAGAAGCAGCCTGCTCCGAGTCACAACAAAGAGATGCTTTAAGAAGCTGTTCCTTACTACATCTCATGCCTAGTGTAATCCACGACGGAATGTCCCCTGCATATTTTATTTGGCAAGGAATCAATCCTTATCCTAACAAGTGACTCCTCCCTAACCCATGCATAAACTCACATCAGCTAGGGCTCAACCAACCTGTCCAAGCTCATGCAGGTGACCAAGTGAATACAAACAGCAGCTCAGGCTGTTAACTCACCCTACTATAAGGTACGTACTTTTTTTTTTTAAAAAAAAACTCCCCTTCAATCTCGTAAGACTTCATGTAAAGAAAAAACCACATTATTTTATCTATTAAACTAGACAAGGTTTCAGTCTCTTTCCACCACAGTTTATGACCTTTTTCAGCTTTTCTTTCAACAGTTTCAACAAGTTTTTGCCAGCTTATAAAACTGCTATTAAGCAGCAAAGGAGATTTCAACTTCCTGAAGTAAATACCATATTTCAGAGGAAATGCAGGATGTATCTATTAGAAATAAACTAAGCATCCTGAATTATTTTAAGTAATATCAGCAACGTGATATTAGAGGAGACTGTTTCAAGACTGCTTACCAGACACAATCCATACCTATAACAGGCAAAATTCTACACATATGTATATGGATTGAACTTTACCTCATAAGTACAGAGGCTTAGTCTTAATAAAAACCCCATTACAATAACCTTTGCTTATATGATCCCTCTTACACGACAAATCCAATACAATGCATTTTTTTCCCCCACTGGTAATTTTACTGAAGCAAATATTTAACCTGGACTGACTTAAATGAAACTGAGACCCCATTACTTATAGCTACCTTCTGTCAAGTTACTGCTGATGCACTTTTTTTCATTCCTTTAAAATATATGTTTATAAAACCAGAAGTTGGTCAACTCAACATAATCTGCATAAGATAGATTTTAAGAAGTGCCTGAAGTTAGACTCATGTTTGAACACTTAAGTCTGAAACAAGGTAAGCTTACAAAACAAACCCATGGTCTAATAGATCCTAACAGAGATGCTTAATTTTTTGGAGAGGAAAAAAAAAAGCATGCAAGTTACTATAAATGCAAGAGAACATATACCTTGTCTCTGATAAATCATGTTCTTGAATCAGATCTATCCATTCCTTGAGCGTAGGAGAATTGTAAGCCATCAAGTAACTTATTAGGTCAGATTTAAAATTAGTTTCAGATTCACCAGCAGAACCAGTTGTTCCCTGAGGTAGCCTTGGATATAAAGGGCTTAGCCATATGCTAAAAACAAAGCCACAAAAACAAGGACACCACACATTAACACATGGTTTTTAGTAAGTGATTAAAGCACATCTGAAGGTCCTAAATGAATACTAGACAGATTTATTGATATATTAACTATAAAGCAACTTGCCTTCACTTCACAGTTACAAAATAGTCAAGTCATACTCAATACCATAAACCCAAGACTTTCAAATGAAGACAACCACCTCAACACATTTATCCATGCATATGTTTACAGCTTTCACCATTGTTAAACAGGCCAGGCTCAGATTTACCAGCCAGTAGCCCTTTCATCAAGACTTTCTGTAGGAACAGAACACTGCAACACATTCTGCCAAGCTACCGGTTTGTGTAATGATATAGAAAAACACCAGTTAGAGCATCTGAGAGTTCTGCATAGTTTGAAGAGTAGCCCACAATGATAACTTGCCTCTCCAGAACTTCCATCAGAATAAAATAGGGTGGGCACTATACAGGAAAAACATCTAGCGTTTCTTTCCAGTCACACATTATTATAGCCATGGAAACCAAAGTTTCTGCATTATCAACTTTACAACATGTTGATACTATCCTTTGCAATTCATAAGCCTATAAAACAGAGAAGCCAGTGAACCATCATATTGGTGATACTGCGTATTATTGCAGTGTGCAAAAGCTAAAAAGAAAAATGTTCTTGAATTTTGACTTGTTAAGCATCACAAATAGGTATTTTCATGCCTTCTTGGCTTTCTGAAAAGCTAACTGCCAAAGGATATTAAAGCCATCCTTAAGTAAAAGATTTAAAAGCAAAAAAATGAGTGGTTATATTTTTGCCACTCAAACTCTTACAAGAGCTTGCCTCAGACAAGTGAAAAGCCTCAAAACCTGGCTATATTTAATGGCAGCAAAATGGATGTCAAGGTCACAGTAACTTCTGAAAAGCCATTTTCAATTACATTGATGAAGAAATCTTATACCCTGAATTACTCTGGAGATGTAACTAAAAAATGCTGCCATAAAAACAGCCAAGAAAACAAGAGGTGGAGGGGCCTTATATTAACATGTCACTTAGCCCTATTTTTCTGTGCTCTAAACAAAACTATTTCCCAAGCTGGCAGTTAAGTGTAAAAGCTTCTACCAAAAAAACCCAACCAAGCCAAACAACAAACCCCAAAAAAAAAAACCAGGAAGAAAATTCCTTCCAAGGAAAGGATACTCGGTCATCTACTGCACTAAGGAACCAATGGTGCGCAGCATCTGTCAGATTACATACCAGATACAGTCACATTAGAAGCAGAACATTTGCACATTCACATTATTCTCACAGTAATATAACACTTTTAAATAGCTGTTTCAGATTCGTATAAAGAATACTTTATAGCTACATAGTTTTTTCATAAAGAGACATGGCATAATAAAAGATCTTAAATGAATCAGACAGAGTTTAAGGTAACAGCCCGCTCAGGACATAATTTTGTCTACAGTAGAAAGCAAGTAGAATTCAGGCTTAGACAGCCACCACCATGCTAGCTTTGATTTTTTTTTTGTTTGTTTTGCAGGATAGCTCTATCTTATGAGTGTATGACTTGTAACACTGGATTGTCTGACAGTGTCCTGCCTCCGGCAGTAGCATATACTTACAGAAAATATTAAAGTAACCATCCACCTGCTAGAGATTGCTGCTTACCCCTGAGTTTTCTGGTGCCAATCTTCAGCAATAAGATTGGATGTATGTATCACAACTCGAAGACCTTCTTCATATAACAACAACATCATTTTCCTTCAAAAAAAATATATATAACACTTCATCTATTTCAAGTAGACAGAGTATGAAATAAATTGACACTTCATTAAAGTGCTCCAAGATAATTATTTTCAAAAAAAGTTGGTCTGCATAGTGCAAACACTTAGACTTCAACCCACATGCACGCCAAACTTGCACGGCAGTCATTAGACTAATCGCCAGATATTTTGTCAGCAGCATAATATAATATATTCGAGAGTATAACTTAACATCTCATGCAACTGATTTCTCAAAGCAAAAATGAATACTCGCAGAACATTTCCTATATTTGCTATGTTTTTCAGATAAACTTATTCTTTTGTAGATAGTTAAAGAAACAATTAACAAACACTAAGAGGTCCTTGCTTATATTTATTCAAACCTAGTTCTTTTCTCTTAAACTGACAACTTTTAAAATAAAAGAAGGTATGTAGGTAACTAATCATTGGAATGGCAAAAAAAGCTCTTCACCTACTATAAATCTAAACTCAAGCTACAGCACAAAGAAGTTTTAAAACTAGTAACTGAGTTAAAAATAATCATCTTTGTTTTGTAACATAAGCACTCAAATTTTCACATATAGGTTTTTAATAGTTATGTAAAGACAGCATATCCATGTGACCCTGGAGGGTGAGATGGTTTCCATAGAAACCAATGCTCAAGAATGAAAGCTGTAAGGAAAAGCACACTCATTTTCATTGCCGTCCCACAGTGAGATAATGCAATGCAAATTACATCAGGCTCAAATTTAGACAATGATTTATTCAGTAGTTTCTGCTTTTAATGTTAAGAGTTCAGCAAACTAACATTCAAGTACCTGCACACGTTTTCCTATGCTTCCTGCACAGTTTATGCAATATGCAGGACGCCCATAGTAACTATAAAATAGTTATTTTTTCCTCACATCTGTGTCATGCCTTTATCTAACCACAAATTGAGCTGATGGTAAATGAAGTATTTTACAGCAAAATGAAATGCAAGATTAAGGTACATAAAAGTGGTAACTAATCAAAATACCACTACCTCAAAAAAAAATCACTGACAGGTAATTTAAGTTTTACATTGTACCATAGGAATGATGTGAATTTAAGTCTTTATATTTGATGGGGTGAAATCTGTTAAATTTCTCTTGTTTCACTACCCCCCAATATCTGATTCACTGGTCTGCTACCCACTTGTTGTGTTCCTTTTGCAGTGGAACATGCATTCAGAAATACACTACCCAGAACAACTCTTTAAAATATAGGGTTAAGGAACTGTAGCATTTAACATCACTATCACTTGTTTATCCCAAAGTGTGATGGAAGAAAAAAAAAAATTTACAAGTTGAGCATACAGAGAACAAGAGCTACTGCTTAAGTGAAAATAAGCTATTTAAAAATTATCAGTTTGAAAAACAACCTCAATTCCTTCTATGGCCCTCACTAAACCTGAGAGAGAAGGAAGACTCATTTTTAAAATGCTGATTTCCTTCCTTTATTTGCATATTCTTCTCCAAGCAGGCAATGAGGAGGTCAGTATGCTTTCTACCGGAAACACAGATGTGCCTTAAATGGGCTTTTCAGATCAATGTTTTAACATAATGTCATGTTTTATAAAATGAGTTATATGAAAGGATTAATTGACTTAAAAATACTGCAGTGCCCTCAGACCAAAAGTCTTTGCTACGAGACATAAGATTAAATCTTTTCTTATCTGTAGCTTGCAATCTATAAAATTCCCTTTGTGGCACTTCTATACTATCAAATTAAAGTTTTTCTTTGAAAAGACCCCAAAATTCAGTAATTATTTCCAGTTCCTCCATGTTAACTGCAAAAACTGAGCAGTACATCAGTGTTGTGTCCAACCTGCCAATGACTGATCAAGTCTGCGTTACAGTTTTGGTATTAATGCATGAGTTAAGAGCCAGGCCCTGCAGTCCTCTGACTTCAGTTGTCTAACTTGCACATCTCACACGTACCTAATATCTGATTTGTTTCCTTAAACTAGAACAACCCTATAATCTATAAATACAAAATAATTAAGGAAATTTTTCTTCAAGACTCAGCAATTTCTAGGAAATCCAGTTTTATCGCTTTAAAGCAACTTGTAGATAAAAACACACACATAAAACATGAAAAATACTACTTTTAAATTTAATCAATATACATTAGGCTTTCAGAATAATGTTTTCATAAACAGTAATAATCTATTTTTCTATCCTGTAAGTACTTTAAGACACTAGACACTAGTTAGTAGCCCAGTCATGGTTACTGCATGTAGCAACTCTGCGGTCATCTTTAGAAGTGAAGCTTTCTGCTTCACAGCTGTTACTTACGTATGGTGAGTTCCAAATGCAATATCCAGTTTAGCCTACAAAATTAAAAAGTTGATCATTAAAAATTCCTATTGTGCATTCCTATATGCAAGAATGTTGAAGGAGGAAAGGTGCTTCTTCATTTTCATTTCACTGCTCTCTAGCGGACAGATCAAAAAATACATTATTCTTTCCCTCAACTTCAAACATACTCTCTAATTTCTAGAAGTTAGATTTTAAACGGCAATGAAACTCTTTGCTGGAACTGCTCCAGCAGAATTTCTGGTTTCTTAGCAGCAGTATTTTCACAAACAGTCAGCTTTGCAGAAAAGGACCTGAGGTTCCTGCTGGACACTAAGTCGAGCAAGAACCAGCAATGTGCCCTTGCAGCAAATATGACTAACAGTGTCCTGGGCTGCATTAGGAGAAGTGTTGCCAGCAGGTCAAGGGAGGTGATCCTTCCCCTCTATTCAGCATTGGTGAGGCCACACCTGCAGTACTGGGTCAAATTCTGGGATCCTCAAGTACAGGAGAGACATGGACATACTGCAGAAAGTCCAACCAAGGGCCACTAAGATGATTAAGGGACTGGAGCTGTCCTCCTGTGAGGAAAGGCTGACAGAGCTGGAACTGTTCAGCCTGGAGAACAGAAGGCTCAGAGGGAATGATTAGCGTGTATAAACATCTGAAGGGAAGGCACAAGGAAGAGAGAGCCATGCTCAAACAGGACCAGAGGTAACGGACACAAATCAAAACACAGGAGGCTCCCTCTGAACATCAGGAAACTTTTTTGCTGTGAGAGTGACTGAGCACTGGCACGGGTTGCCCAAAAAGATTATGGAGTCTCCATCCTTGTAGATACTCAAAACCTATCAGGACATTGTCCTGGACAACTGGCTCTAAGTGACCCTGCTTGAGTAGGGGAGTTGGGCCAGATGACCTATAGAGATTCCTTCCAACCTCAACCACTCTGTGATTCTGAAGCATGCAATGACTGTTACAAGCAGCTTAATGGCCAACATTGCAAAGAAAAGGACAGAAGACACAGATAAAAATGCTTTTTTATCAGTGCTTTCCTCTTATTAAAGAGTATTTACAGCACAATTTCTAGGGAGAGAATGAAACAGGAGTTACGGGTGTTAAGAAAACACTTTTAGCCTGTGAGGGCTCCAGCATTGTGCCTAGTTAATACAGGCACACAGGAGAAGATTAAAATACTTACATTTCATTTTGGGCTACTAACATAACGGAATGCATGTAGACTACCAGAACAATCTGAAGCAGTACACTCAAATAGGAAAACCATTATAAATGCCATTTTCAACTGCTACTTCCTATTAACTACATTGCTAATCACGTCGTATCATTGTTTATCATACGGGACAAAGGATTATTTATCATATGGGCCATATTACATTCAAATTCTTGTTGTGTGTGAAAAGGAATCATTATATGCAAAAACATGGAATTATTGTTAGCATCTTTGAAATCTTAATCTAAAACTGTTGCTACTCCACAACTTAGTGCAAACACCTGATAGCATAGCACACACCAGCCCAGAAATCCTGGCCTTGAGAACTCACTATGTTTGGCATCAAAACAGCCATCTCTAGGAAGCTCAGGGTTACCAGACTGCCTGAGAAGGAAGAAAATTCCAAGATCATCCTCCTCCTAACAAAGAGTAAGATATCTCCATAATAAATATTATACTACACCCAGCAAAATCCTGAGGCAATGGCAAGTTGCCGTAACCACATGCCTCCCCCAGGCTGAAGGCAGTAACTTTACGACTCGGGGACAGCAAAAGACTAAGCATAACATCGGAAAGAAAACAACACGTGCCAGGAAGCACACTCACGGCAATTTTAACAGTATTATGGAAACTATTTGTAACAGCATTTTCACATGTAAAACACACTTGGATGAATCATAATTCTTTGCTCCAACTGAAGATTGCAGTGACACTAGGACTAAGTTCTGCACTTTACACAGAAAGCGATTCCTTTTGTGCCATCACAAGAATTTGAGTGTAATATGTTAGTAGGGAAGGTGTGCAGCTCTTCTGCAAGCCCCATGACATTTCTGTGGGCAGCCATTCTGTGCAAAGCTTTTGTGGGTGACAGTCTACCACAGTCACAGAAGACCAGGAACATAGTTACTATGTTCCGATCTATGGTCCTGGTAAGTATAACAATAATAAAAGCATAACAATAAATTCTTGACTTCCCATATAAGCTGCGTCTCTCTCCATCCGTAACAAGATTTTGAGTGCAACAGATCACTTAATTACCTGACAAAAGCTAATGTTCTCATAAGGGCGTGCTTGTGCAAGCAGTTCAGCTTTGGATTCTCTCTTTTCGCCATGAACTATCAACAGTGGCTTCTTCCTTAAATAAGAGGAGATTACTATTAAAATATGAAATGAATTAGTAATTAGTCTAAACCTCTCCTTCACGTAACTCTGACTTCTGGCCCCTAGATCTGATAGCCCCGCAGGAAGATGGCACTAAAATCTATATGCCTTACTCACACACAAAAAAAAAAGCAGTAACTGCAATAGAGCCTAAGAGAAAGGCACTAGAAAACTTTAATGGGAAAAAAAAGAGTATGGAGTAAATCAGACTTCAAAATAGAAACTAATAATATAAGATCTTGTAACAAACTTTTGTCCATATACTTGAAAACAGATAAATAGAAGTTCTCAGAAGTATTGATATACATAGTGTGGATCTATAACAATTTAATCATTGTTACCTTACAGAGAAGACAGGAAGAATGAGAGGGCAAAGGAGAGGGCTAGGTCTGTTCTGGCAATAGTTTCATGTTCACTCCCCAATACTCTGTTCTACTGCATTTCCATAAAATGCAAATAAAAGGAGAGGAAACTGCACGTCATATGCTCACTTCATCTGCAATAGGATGCAGTTATCGTAAAGGAATTTCAAACAAACATAAGAATTGCTTTCATGCCAATATCCAGCAATTCCAACCATACCATATACATGCTGTATCACCCTGATGATTTTCGCATAGTTTTCTTGTGCCCTTCCCACATCCCCTCCTTTCTCCCATTACGACG